ATCAGAAACCGAGCGCACAGAAAGGCTGCCACACGTGCAGTGAGGCTGCCGCACCGAGCGCGCAGTGAGGCTGCCGCGCGCATGTTTTCCTCTGCCGTGTGCTCGTTGGCCAACGAGCGCACGCAGGTTTGTCACTTGTGCACATCCTTGTGCACTCACAGACACAGTTTGCTCCCTCTCAGTGTACAAATGACCTCCTCGCCATGTATATTTTCACTCATGAGGTTCTAACCTCCACGCGCGAGTCCCGTTCGCACGCGCGATGTGCACAATACGCGTGCACGGGTTTTGGCTACGCTTGCACGGGTTTTGGCGGAAACCTGACACCATACCCTCTCTCCACAGATGCCTCTGACACAGGACTAGTCTGCATGAGATAGTGCTCAAGGCCTCATGCATTTGCTCTAAACTGCTTCTTTCCAGCCCAACAGAAGAACGAAGACAAAGGACTCTCTCTTTTTAATAAATCAAAGAACTCTACAGTGATCCCTCGCTACTTCGCGGTTCGTTTATCGCGGATTCACGACTTTGCGGATTTTTTCTTTGGAGCCTTATTCAAGGGAAATTCGCCGATTTGCGGTATTTTTCACCGATTCGCAGTATTTTTCTATGCGAAATATCAAGAAATTCCTGTTTTTTTTCATCAATTTCATCATAAAATGGACTTTTTGTAATAAAACTATTAAAAAAAAAACAAGTAAAATACAGTATTATGTAAAGGGAGGGTTTTAAAAGTCTGAATAGTGAATACGTACCTGTTAAATAAATACTGTAAATATGGTGTCCCTACTTCACGGATTTTCACCTATCACGGCCAGGTCTGGAACGCATCTACCGCGATAAACGAGGGATCACCTGTATTTTTAATAAGCTAATCAAACAAAGTGTTAGTCCAATAATAAAATGTGACCAATCTGTGAAATGAAAATATTAATTACTTTATTATAATCCTATAGAATATAGGAGTAATGTGACTTTAAATGTTTCCACTAGGACTGATCTCAGGTAGCGTTAAGAGACGACACATTACTTTCACTGATCCAATCAGAATCTGCCAGATCTGACAGAGGTGTAGTTTTGGTGGTGTTTGGTAAATCTGTCATCTTTTCATTCGACCATAAACCAAAACATCCGAAGTATAAAACTATGCCCACGTCATCTTTAATGCCAGTTCAAAGCTTTCTAGAGAAGTTGACGGAGTGGCCAATCCGTAACTCGCCTCTTCAGCCGAAAGAACCAACGACAAGCTGGATAAAATCTGTTGCTGTTCCACCTGCTGCAACGGTTCCTTTCAGAATAAAAGCTGAACCATCACGACCCCGTTTTAGGTCTTGTTAGATGCCGATAAACTGTCGTGACCCGGAAGTATCTCAAGACTGGTGGTCGGCTGCCGCGGCTGTTTCTACAAGCTTCGGCTCCACAAAGGTCAAGCTGTACCTTTGCACCTCCTGATCTAGACGGGGACTTCCGCTAAGGGTACGTAGACTGACGGAATGGCGTCATAATGTGTTTATGAATCTCCTAATCAAAGCTTAGCGCGAAAACATCACCTTCACTTCCCATCAGAACTAATCGTTTCTTCGGGTTTGCTGGTTCTGAACAACATTCCACACTACACCATTCTCCGTCTCATCCACCTTAGTGACACCACACATTTAGTGTTCAAGTTAGTCTAGTTTTAATTTGTTTAGTGATAAATCTTTAAACTTTTAAAGCTTGACTCTCTCTTCTGTTGTCTCTGAGTTAATACGAGGTTGTTACATAATCCCTGCAATAAAAAGTTCCAGTCTGGTTTTCATTCGACCATAAACCAAAACATGACCCACAGATCCATCATGTTTACTATGGAATCGCATGTCTTATGGCTCATTAAATAACATGTAAATTAAACCATTAATCTGTTCCTACATGCTGAGCTCTTCCTCCAGCTGATCAAGTCATTTCAGTCAGATTCAGTCATTAACGTGTCCTCTCCTTTCTGAACAGGTCACAGCTGACCTGGGTCAGACCTGGACTAGGAAGCACAACAAACTCACCTGGTCTAGGTGCTGTTTCAGGGAGCTGGTGGGTGCGATGGGAGTCAAACACAGTTATTTATACAGCTTTGACTCCACCCCTGTCACCTGGACAGAGGCGGAGCTTATAGAGGAAGTGGAGAACTACCTGGTATTTGTAGCTGGAGGAGATTGTTGGGACACTTCTGTTTGCTGCTTTGATCTTATTTCAGACATTTGATCACTCTCAGTTTAAATGAGTGTTCAGACATTTTAGATCCTGTTTATTTATGCGAGAACAAACAACAACAACAGTTGGTTTGTTTACATTTAAAGGAAGAATTTCTGCATGGCCGTCATGATCTGTTGCTTTCGTATTAGTATTTGTTTCTGTTTCTGCTGAGACGTTTTACACAAACACGTTCAACTAAAGACAAGTAAAAGCAAAACTCATCGTTTCATTTAAACACGATCTTCTGTTTCATCTTCATCAGAGAGGGACTCGCCCTGCTGGACCAGTGCCAGCAGCAGCAGCGCCGTTGTTTATGTGAGGTTTTAGTTTCAATCAGAAAATAAAAGTGGAACTGAAGATGAGAAACATCAGACTCACGCAGAACGGCCTCTGAACAGAAATCATAAATTAATCTTTAATTATTACTAAAACCTCCTGGTCTGAGAGCTCAGCTTTTAGCAATCTATAGAATCCACCGATCAATAAAGGACTGACATTAGTTTTACCGTAGGACACATTTTATGTTTTATTTAGGTTAAATTACCATAAAATATTATACTATATGAACAAACCATGTTTTTTTCTTGTAAACTTTGTTCTGCCTGTCTGCTGCCCCCTACTGGCTGATTCTGGTAACTGACCCATCATCTGTGACATTCGAGTTTTTTTTATTTCTGCAATTGAAAATGTGCTTTTTAAATCCCAAAATAAGAGTAAAATAGAGTAAAGACAAATCAAAAAGTTACACGTAGTCCTTCCAAATCTAAGAAACTTTATTATCAAAGCTGCCGCTGAAAGTGAAGAAGGAGGTGGGACCGGCTCAGTGGACTAGTGGGACAGTGTCCGCACTGGGACTAGGAGATCGGAGCCCAAATCCTGGACGAGTCACACCAAAGACTATAAAAATGGGACCCGATGCCTCGCAGCTTGACACTCAGCTTTAGGGGTAGGATTGGGGGGTTAAACCACCGAATAGTTCCTGAGCTGCAGCTCACCGCTCCCCACAGGGACAGGTCAGACGTGGAGGACAATCCTCACCACACCAGTGTGTGATAACTGTAGGAAATGAATCTCTTCAACATTTTAGGTTCCCTAGCTCCATGTTTGGAATAAAGACAAAACATCAGTGAGGTATGCTGGAGCTGGACCTTTCAAATGAAAAACCCACTAACAGGAAACAGATCAGGGTATTAGCCAGCAGAGTTCTTTACCAGCTGAAGATAACGGACCCTGACTAACCCTGAGGTACTCCACCTATAATGTTATAAACACATGAACAGCTGTTTGAAGGGCATGCCCGGAGAAATGGATTCAGCTCGGACACACATCAGAGATGCTGAGAAGCAGAAGCAACTACTCAGTTTATAAGAACATTAAGAAAAGCTCCATCAACCTTCAACCTAATGTGACAGTGTGAGCGTCCGGTCACTGTGGCTAACTGGTTAGCGCGCAAAGACTGACAACCGAGTTTCTGGTGTAGGATTAATCCCTCCAGACATCAAATAGGACCAAACAATACTGCTTCTGTCTCACGGTCATCTACAGACGTGGACCAGATCATCGGTACTCTTCGGTCAATGAAAGAAAAACCCACAATGGTCACAGAAACAACTCAGATCTGACAATAAATAAAAGCTCTATGGAAGGGAACCATCACAATCAGACACTAGTTTCTGCATGCGTCAAAGCCTAGACTTCTGCACCTCCCTTTCCTCAGGAGTAAGGAAGGCTGCTAGATACCTGACCATCACCAGAAAGTGGGAACATCACACCCGTAATGGCTTCCAGTTTGTTTCAGGGTCAAGATACTTGTTTTTATGTCTGCAGAGCTGTGCTCAGACTACCTGTCACTCGGTACTAGGGTTGGGCATTGTTTGATTTTGAACATTCCGATTCCAATTCCTCGTTTCAATTCTGGTTCCTATCGATTCCTGATTCTTTAAAGACATGATGTGCTTTACATGAGCCAGCTAACCACAGGACCTACTTGATGAAATAATCTTAACTTCAGCATGAATTTTGACTCTATGAACAATAACGTCACCTTCATTTAGACAAAAACATGTTTTGGAGAAAAAAAGACAAAGACTTGCAGCACAACCAGTGTGTTTGTTTCTGACCACAACCAAAGTCTGGAAGAAGCCTCTGGGATGAGAGGCTAAATGTCTCCAACATATCCAGAAACGTCCAGCTGTTTTCAGCTAAAACTCTCAGGATGATCATGTCTAGGATGACTGAGAACTACACCTCCATGCTGCAGCAGCATTCAGTCAGAAACTTAAATGTAGCTGCTGTCAGCAGGGGCGTGTCCAGGGGGTGGCCTTGGGTAGCACATGCCACCCTTGGAATCTGATTGGCCACCCCAGGTTCCGCCACACTAATTTACCTTTAAATAGGCTTTTCATTGTCCACAAGGCTTGGGGGTAAAACAAAAAAAGCATAACCACTGGTGCCACCCATGCACAAAATTGTGCCTCACCTGGGCCACCCCATTTTAAAAGATCTGGATACGCCACTGGCTGTCAGTAACAATCTAACAGATTTTAAACATTAAAACTCAACAGAAATAGTTCAGAAAGGAAATTTATATGTTCACAACTTTGTGTGTGATTTATTATTATAATTATTCATAGTGGCAGAAGCTGGTGTGGTCCACCACAGAGAAAGCTGCTCTAGCATGATGACTAATTATTCCACAGGTTATTGTTCAGCCTTCTGACGCTCACACACACTCACACACGTGTGTTTTTATTTCTGCAGTGAGACAAACTCACCTCACACCGTCCAGAGTTTGTTCTTTAAAGCTTCTATTAAATCCACCGTGTTGACGTATTTTAATAAGTTTCCTCTACGCTGCAGGAGTTCATGTTTACATCACGGAGTAAAAGTTCGGCAGACGCGTTTGTTTACGTCTGGGTGGGGGAGGGGGGCTCGGTGCTGCACACAGACAGCTGGTGTGATGATCAGCTCTGAAAAGCGTTGATCACAATTTGCAGATCGCGTTTATTCTTCACGGAGATCGGCCGCGGATTCCTCTTCCGTCGGCACTAGGAACCGAAATGAAAAACTAGCAGTTGGAACCGATTCCAATCGATGCCCAGTCGGTACAACTCACCGTGTGCACTTAGGTCTCCACAGCAAGACTTACTAGTAGCTCCTAGTCGGTAAAATGCTTGACCAGAAGAGGCGGGGCCTTCTCGGTTTTGGCCCCTAAGCTGTGGAATGACCTTCCACTTGAGGTCCAACGCCCCCACTGCTGCTTTAAAGGAGTCGGAAGACTCGATTTTATTTTGACCATAGAACAATTATAACCGAAGTGTCTTCTTTATTATCAGAATGTTTCAGGGGAAATCAGTTTCACAGGCTCTACAATAAAAATGTGAATAAACATAAAATACACGAAATTCAAACAGAAACACTTAACAGATTTTAAAAATGTAAAATGCAAGTAAAACAAAAAACAACAAAAAAGAAAATGTGTAAAAGCAAAGTTTAGATGTCGAACAGATCTCTCATATTTATATAATTAGACTATTTCTACCAGACAACTAAAATGTTGCCTGATTTCAGTAAAAAAGGTTAATGACTCGGGGTGTGTGATCCTGACTCCATGTTCAGGGCAGGTGCTGACACCTGGTGGTCAGACGAGTCCGCTGCAGTCTGAGGAACCAGCAGACCAGTCCGTTTTATCTCATCAATAGAGAAGTGCTGCTCCACTCAAGGTACTAGAACATCTGTTGCCATGGAGACGAAGACACCAACCTGCTGCAGGTCCCGGCTCCATTTAGTCCTGGAACACGTGATTCATTCAAAGAAGAAAAAAGGTTTTTATTTGTGTTTTTGATTCAAACACAAAAAAACTTAAAACTAAAGTTTGGGTCAGAACCACGTGCAGTCAGAGTAAGCTGTTCTTGTAGAACCAGAACGGTTATCACTCAAACGAGACCGAGCAGCGAGCCCAGCGGGACGCCTAAAGCAGGAAACGGGAACGTTCTCCCCGCCGGGGAAACAAAAGTTCTGTTGGCCCATTTGCCGGTACCGCACTAGAACACTCGGTCGAACTCAGTCTGGCTGGTGGTGGCCGGGTTCCGGTTCTGGTTGGGCTGCTGCTGGGGCATATGGCCTCTCCGTCTGGGCGGAGCCAGATACTCAAACATGGAGGTGTTGTGAGTGGACAGCATGTTCTTCAGGTCCGATGGCATCGGGTCACACCAGAAGAAGTCATGGTTGAGCGCGTCGTCGCTGTCGATACGCTGCGATGGGTCCAGAACCAGGAGTTTGTCGATGAGGTCCAGAGCACACGCGTCTTTAACGTAGGCCTTCAGGCGGTCCTTCACCTTCCTCTTCTGGCCTTTGGGCAGCTCCATCTTCTGGTACAGCTCATACTTCTTGTCCACAGTGGGCCAGACCTCAGCTGTGATGGAGCCGCACAGCTGGCTGATGAGAGTCAGCTGGTGCTGCTCGGTGTTCCCCTGCATGATGGGACTCCTGGTCCACATCTCCGCCATGATGCAACCCGCTCCCCACAGGTCTATGGGGGGTCCGTAGTCCCGCTCACCTGAAGGACACAGAGCCAGGTTCTGTTAGAGGGTTCTTTGTTACAGAACGTTCCTTCAGAAGTCCAGAGAGGCTCATACCCAGCAGCAGCTCCGGAGGTCGGTACCAGAGCGTGACGACCCGGTTGGTGTAGCGGTTCCCCTGACTGTTCTTAGCCAGGCTGAAGGCCCGAGCCAAGCCAAAGTCCGCCAGCTTCAGGACGCCGTCTCTGGTGATGAGCACGTTGGCGGCCTTCATGTCTCGGTGCAGAATCTGAACCAGAACACACGATTTAGGACCGGGCCCACTTGAGACCGGGTCTTTAATGTTCTGCTTCTGATCGGTCTCACCTTGTTCCTGTGGATGTAGTACAGCCCGTTCAGCAGCATCTGCATCACCTTCTTGATCTCTGCCAGCGTGAATTTCACATTAGCGTTGCTCAGCAGCCCGGCCAGGTCGTGCTCGCAGAAGTCGAACACCAGGTAGATGCTGCCTTTGTACCGGTTGAACTGGGTCGCTGCAACAACAAAAACACTGAGTGTCACCTTCAGCTCCAGCAGCAGATGGTTCCTGCAGCTGAAGATCCGGCCTGAAGCCACTAACCTTTGGTTCTGCAGATCTCAATCAGGTTCACCACGTTCTCGTGTTTCAGCAGCTGCAGGATCTTGATCTCCCTCAGAGCTGTGATGGGGAACTGAAACGAAACGAAGACTGAGCGATGCTGGAGATGCGGTCCACGCGGTGATATTAATGAGACGACTCGGGTCATTTGTTTATGTTCATATTACTTTAACCAAAGTGAGCTGTAATCTAAGACAGCGGTGTCGTCCCTCTCATGTCTCCATCTGTGTGTTTTACTGAAGTGCATGAAAATGGTTCTCCACCTTCACACAGCTGATCATCAGTGGTGATCAATACATCTACCCAGCTGTTGAAGTTCTCCAGACTGAATGAAGGAGCCTCAGTGAAAGACTCCTGTCATGTCTGCACCACATATTTCTATCCTGAACTCAGATAAGAGCTCTCCAGCATTCACCCCACCACCTTCAAACCAGTGAGAAGTTCTAACGTGTTCTTCAGCTTCACCAGAGTCAAAATGATTGGGAGGTCAGGGGTTCGATTCCTGGACGGGTCATACCAAAGACTTTGAAAAAATGGGACCCAATGCCTCCCTGCTTGACACTCAGCATAGGGGTTGGATTGGGGGGTTAAACCACCAAATAGTTCCAGAGCGCGGCTTGTCTGCAGCTCACCGCTCCCGCAGGGGATGGGTCAAATGCGGAGAATAAATTTCGCACACACACCTGTGTGTGTGACAACTAATGGGACTTTAACTTTAGATGCTGTGAACCCCCCCCCAATTGGTGGACTTCAGCCTGGCGAGGTCATCAGCTGGAGGAGTCAATGTGCTCTTCACGCCTCCCAAGATCTCCCTCCCACCTGTGACTGTACAGTAGATGAGCGCCTTATGGGCCATTCCCATCTGTACCGGGTCGGCCCGGGCCGGGTAGCGTAGGTTGTTTACATATCTGGGTGGCCTGGTATTTTTCCGGGCCAACCAAGGCTCATTCTCAGCCCTCTTCTCGAGGGGGTCTGCTTCAGGCCGACCAGGGCCAACACACCCACTGCTGACAGCAAATTCACACCTTCCATTAGAGCAAGCCTCTGATTGGTGGGTAGAATCAGCCCACATGGGCTTAAGGAAAGGATGTGTGGAATCAACCGGGCCAGGCTGGGGCCGACTGGGGCTACCTGGCCCAGGCCGACCCGGTACAGATGGGAATGGCCCATCTGATGGCTGCTCTCGCTGGGGGAAGAAGGATCCCAGCCCCACCCCGCCTTCCTATTGGGAGTCTCATGTTGTGGACTGTTGATGTTCATGCTTATATGTCTGAGGTGTTTTTTTGCAGAGCAAAGCTGCCCTCCCTGTGGAGGGTAGCTCTGAAGTGCCTTTTTTCCCTCCACCTGAACCAATCCTCATGTAACCCTCTTATCTCTATTAAGGTAGCGTGACTCAGGGTTGCGAATGACCACAGTCACCAATTCTTGTCATGTGTCTTGCCCATGTGTGTCTGATCTCTGAATTGTGTGTACTGAAACTCTAATTTCCCTCTGGGATTAATAAAGTATCTTTGATTTGATCTCAGCTGTGATTTTAACCACAACAAGCAGCAACAGAAACTCAGATCTGTCTTGTTTCAGGCTCTCTTCAGGCTGCAGGAGAGCAGGGGCCACTCTGGGACGTGGATCAGGGATGCACCCATGACCGTACCAGTATCAGGTACTGCCCAGACACAACACAACCAATACCGACCACGTGGGTCCACTGTGGTGGACGTTAAACCCTGTTCACTTGTTCTAAGCTTTAGCGCACTCGAGTGGGGATCCAATTAGAGCCCTGCAATGGGATTGGTATCCCACGGGTCCCAATGCTAATCTCAGCAAGGCGAGCGACTGAGGACAAAACTGTGGGCACCACATTAACCTGCTAGAAGATGGAGAGTTCCACTGAGGTAGCTAACATGGAGAGGCGGGTTTGGACGCGGATGCTGTGAGAGCCGGTGGTGATGAAGAAATCAGCTCTAGTTCGAGCCTCTGAGGCCCAGGAACATCCAGCTGTTCAGACCCATATGATTGCCAGCTTCACACTTCAGATCATAACTGACGTAAAGTCTTTCAACATCTCTAAATGAGCTACCAGGTTCTCGTCTCTCACCCCTTCCTTTTCATTTTCCATCAGGACTTTCTTCAGAGCAACCTTCTTCTGCGTCTGCCGGTGCTTGGCTTTGAACACCTCCCTGAAAAGACACAAACACACGTTTATCCTGTTTTAGAACAAGGACTTAAATGTTATTGACAAGCGCAAACCCTAATTTCAGAGTAAACATTAGAAATCAGGATCAGTAACAGTCTTGATCCAGTTACCTGTAACCCCTTAAGGCAGGGGTACCCATGTTTTAGTTTTAACCACAACTGATTTTAATCAGCGGGTGATTAACAGGCTTCTGCAGAGCCTGATGAGCTGCTGTACAGATGATTTAACCACTAAAGCGTGTTGGAGCAGAGAAACCGCTAAAACATGCTTTATACCGGCCCGCCAGTGCCAGTTGGCACCCCGAATTAGGTCTTCCTGACGGTCCATCATGGTTTTTCTTTGGATCTTTACTGAGTTTCCGTCCCTGCTGCAACTAAAGACCCTGAAACAGAGCTAGCCCTCCTCTGTGTGCACAACAGAGCCAGAACATGGCCGATGCTACATCAGCTAGCACCGCTAGCACAAACACAGACCCGTTCACTTTACCGCACAATGAAACGTCTCAAACACGTCTGTCTCACCCGAAGGTTCCCTGTCCTATCTTGGCCAGTTTCTCGTACTTGGAGAACTCGTCGCAGAAAGGAAACTCCACTCCGTCGTAATATTTGGACATTATGGCGGCCTCGCGGTCCGGCCTGGTGGGGACAAAGAGGTTAGACTGAATATCAGGAAACTTATAGACAGAAACACCAAGACACACCACACAGACATACCCGAAAACTTAAATATAAAACATATATAACAAATGAGCGAATTCGTAGTTGGAAATCTTACTTTTCAGCCGCGCCAGCGCTGCTAGCTTTCTCCCGCTGCATGACTGCGTTGACGTTCGCCTTTCTTCTTCTTCTTCTTCTGTTTAATGGAGGGTTGGAAACAAACCACAGAGGATATTCTGCCACCAACTGGACAGCAGATGTAACTACAAGTCCCCCAAGGACACGTTCAAAACCCAAAACTCACCCCCAAATCAACTTTTTCCCCCCGAATAAACAGGCCCCGGTGTCGGTACAGGATCTGCTCGGGTGCAGAACCGGCTCGGGGTCCTTCGACTGCCGATGACGTCAAAGTAGTTGATTGGCTGAACATGAAGCTTACGGAAGTTACGTTATCACGTTTGATTTTAATTGGTCAGAACAAATTTGCGGTCGTAGTCTTAGCGGTTGTAGTCCTGTAGTCCAAAAATCAACACTTTTTGGAGAAAATATGTTTGAATTTCTAAAGGAAATGTAAAATATAAGCAAATGATAAACGGTGACCCTCAAAAGTTCTTGATGTTGATGAAATAGGGCAAAATAAAATATAAGAAGTTTATTGAAAGACACCAAGAAATATTTTGAGTCAAAGAATGTATTTAGATAACAACTAAGGAAATATACAGACGAAGTCCACATTAATAAAAACAGATATGGCTTCACATGTAAGAACTGTTCTATTTTTTGTCAGTCTGATGTTGGTTTTATGCAGTTTCACATTTTTTACAAAACAAAGATAATATGGTGTTTTATTAACAAATTAGAATTATAAAGAAAACATTTAGGTTGATTCTCCAAATCTGAGACCATGGTTCTCGACCGGGAAAGGGTGGCTTGCCAACTCCGGGTCGGGGGAGAGGTCCTACCTCAAGTGGAGGAGTTTAAGTATCTCGGGGTCTTGTTCACGAGTGAGGGTAGGAGGGATCGGGAGATCGACAGGCGGATTGGTTTGGCGTCTGCAGTGATGCGGACGCTGAGCCGATCTGTCGTGGGGAAGAGGGAGCTGAGCCAGAAAGCCAGGCTCTCGATTTACCGGTCGATCTACGTCCCAATCCTCACCTATGGTCATGAGCTTTGGGTAATGACCAAAAGAACGAGATCGCGGATACAAGCGGCCGAACTGAGTTTCCTCCGTAGGGTGGCCGGGCTCAGCCTTAGAGATAGGGTGAGGAGCTCGGACATTCGGGAGGGACTCGGAGTAGAACCGCTGCTCCTCCGGATCGAAAGGAGCCAGTTGAGGTGGTTTGGGCATCTGGTCAGGATGCCTCCTGGACGCCTCCCTGGGGAGGTGTTTCGGGCATGTCCTGCCGGCAGAAGGCCCCCGGGTCGACCCAGGACACGTTGGAGAGGTTACATCTCCAATCTGGTCCGGGAACGCCTTGGGGTCCTGCCGGAGGAGCTGGTGGACAAGGCCGGGGAGAGGACGGCCTGGAGCTCCCTAGTTGGGATGCTGCCCCCGCGACCCGGACCCGGATAAGCGGAGGAAGACGACGACGACGACATTTAGGTGTTAACGAACAAGAATTTATTAACAAAACTGCTGATGTCTTTCCAAAACGTATGTGTGAAAGCCGAGTAGAGTTGCAGTCATGTGACAGAAGGTCCTAGCCAGGTGACGCTGATGGTGGATGCTAACGTAAAGCGTATATCCAGTGTCTTTATTTGTATTTACTTCTAGTTTTCTAAATGTGGCAAGGTGGAGAAACGAGGGCCCGGGTGGGATTTGATCCCCAGACTACCGGAAGTACCAAAAATTGCAGTTCCACCGTCATCCGCTGGGGGCTGGTGTCAGAAGCGAGCAAATCCTCATTGACTCCCATGTTAAAAATACCAATTTCATAGCAGAAATAAACATGTTTACAGCCTGGTACCAAAACATGTTTTAGGTTATAGATCTAGTTTACACTCATGACAACTCTGAGGGGGGTGAATTTTTTTCTCACTCTTCTGTTTAAGTGTATTAAAAGCCTAAAATTCTGTATAATTAATGAGCATCAGACCCACGTGACCACAGAGCTAGCTCCATGGAAAGGCCTCAGTAGAGCCTCGGTCTGGCTTGGAAACTGCTCCGGCATCTTGAGTCTCTGTTTGTTTTTTCTGTTTTGGATATTTTTTGTGCAATTGTTGGACAAAATGACTTGCTGTGGCATTAATTGCACTAATAGAGCGTCCAAGGAGTCTCCACTTCATTTTTTTCAGTAAGTAAAATTATATTTATGTATTTTAGGTCACTGCCGAGCTGAGCTTAGATTTTAACATGTACTGTTTAACCATGAAATGTAAATGTAATAGGGTAAAACCCAGTGCATTTAACATAACGCTGCATGTCGGCTTCTGAATTTTGCAATACACCAGGCACCTGCCTACTCCTTACAGCAGAAACCTAGTTATCATGAATTCAAATATACAAATATATTCTACATCCTCCATGGAAAGCAGAGACAGACAGATGATGTATCCACCCAGGAGCGTTTCATTGTCTATTTTCTATCAGAAGCTAACATAGGAGATAGGTGTAGGAGACTATTTTCTATCAAGCTAACACAGGTGTAGCATGGATAATCTACGTACTAGCATATAACGCTGTTTGCTATCAGCTTTGTTGGATCCTGAGAATGATCAAGCAAATTAGCATATGAAGCTTATATCATGTATAAATATCCAGGATACTTATATAATCTATATAAGTTCATACATTATACTGTTGTGCTTCTATTTCGGTGTTTTTTGGTTGGTTTGGTTTTTCTTTTTTTCTCCATAACTGGTGAATCTGCAAACTTACACATTCTCTGTTTACCATATGTTGTTTTGTTTATTTTTTAATACATTTTTTTCATATGTTGTTTGTTTAATTTAAGACTGAAAGAAAATTAAATGAATAAGAGGTAAAACTTGGGGGTAGGGACAAATAATACTTCTTCCTACTCCTTTTCAAACAAATAATGAAATTATATTTTGTAATGATACGTGTGAAATGTTTGAAAAAAAAAAGAACTGAACTGAACATCCAGTCAAAACCTGTTTGCACGCTGCAAAGCTGACACAGCCGCACGACTCCTTAAGAGTCCATCCGTCTTAGACGCAACCAACCTTCATGTCTGTTGTGACCTGGAGACAACTCAAGACTGATCTGGTCGTTCTGCGGTTATTCTACGAACTTCGGTGCCTTGAGGTCCACCAGACTTCCTGACATTCCAGATCTGAACGGGGGTCTCCATCAGGGTTCGTAGACACAACAGATTGTGTCTGATGTTGTTTTATTAATAATCAACTCTCTAGTTTATAGCAGACCAAAATTCTTTTAAACCCAGAACTCACAAGTTGTTCCAGGTACAAAGGTTCTGATATACATCACATTCCATCTCATTTCATTATTCATTGCTTGTCATGTATTATAATTAGTCTAGAAAATAAAGTTTATTTTAATTATGTACTTGACTCTTTCTGAATTAATACGAAGTGTGTTTATGGTCCCGGAATAAGCAAAGAATCCTAAATTCTTCTGGTTAAACATTCAAAGATCAATCAGGTTGATATTCCAAATTTATATAGAATCACCACATCTTATTGGTCATAATTAAACCCTCCAATTCTCTACACCAGCATGCCTTCAACAGAGGAATTAAATGTAATACAAGATATTTTTTGGACTGCATATTTCCCAGGTTGTGATAGGTGGCCAAATACATAGCAAAGTTAATAGAGTGAAGAATCCAAATATAATTGATGAATGAATAACAAGATTGCTAATGTAATTTGTATGTTGAGTTTTTTTTTTTTTTTTGCAATTTGAGGTCAAGGGATATACAGTAAACATCACAAATGGACAATGGAACCAGTTTACCTTGTAAGATGTTATTTATATATTATATATATATATATATATATATATATATATATATATATATTATATATATATTATATATATATATTATATATATATATAATATATATATATATTATATATATATTATATATATATATATATATATATATAATATATTTATATATATATATATTATATATACAGTATGTCACGAAAGTGAGTACACCCTTTGAATTTTTGTAAATATTTAACTAAACCTTTTCATGGGACAACATTGAAGATATGACACTTTGACACAATGTAGTCAGTCTACAGCTGGTATAGCAGTATAAATCTGCTGTCCCCTCAACGTAACTCAAAACCTTGATCTGCATTTAGAGGTTCAGCTTCTGCTATCTGGAAGTCATCCATGACGTAGATAAGTACCACACAGTATTTACTTTATTTGAGGTGAAGAATAATCTGGAATAGGAGTTGCATTTTGTTTACAAGCAAACATTCCTATCAGATTCCCCTGCAGCTGCTGAACTAGGGGGACGGGGCTCTGCAAACACTGCTGTAAACGGCCCACGTGGTGTCGATGTGAGTGAGCTCTTTGATAAAGTGTGCTTTTCGAAACTATGTTTATGTATTTAGCAGACGCTTTTGTCCAAAGCAACTTACAAGTTATAATGAAGCCAGCAGGTTGCCCTTGAGGCTAACAACAAACACTAATCAGTCAATCATAGGTGGCACTAAAACAATAGAGCAACTTTCAACAAGTCAGTTATAATGTGCACACGTTCACAACTGTCAGTAATAGGGATGTGTGGCAATACGATACGTATCATGATTTGGGGAGACGATACACTATACCATGATATATTACGACACATTCAGTTAGACAATATTAGCGAGATTTTAAGACTGAATTTATAGTAGTAAAATTCAATAAACAGTCCAAAAAGATACGTAACATGTTTAACATGAGGCATCTGAACCATAATAGAGGGATTTACATTTCAATGGTGGAAGCAAAACTCATTGCACGCTGCTGCCAACTAGTGGTCGGCATTTGAATTGCACCAAAAGAAAAGAAAACATACAAATGTTTGCATAGAAATTCTTCCAAAAATTAAATACACAGCTTTTGAAGATCTAAGTACTATCACTGAAAAAAAAATCATGATATATTGTCATATCGATATTTTCTTACATCCCTAGTCAGTAATATAAACACTCGATTAGCGACACAGTTTTACAAAGTTTAGACTGTTTACACAGTTCTAATAATTTAGATAAACAATGTGCTCCGATTTAGACACACCTCTCTGCTTAGGCAATAAAGATGGAAGATATTATAAATAAAACACAAGCTATTATGTGAAGCACCTTGAGACGACTCTTGTCGTGATTTGGCGCTATACAAATAAACTTGGATTGAATTGAATGTGATGAAAACACAAATAGCTAAAAGGTTTGAAAAAGTAAAAACAGAAAATAAACATTTATTTCCGATTTACTATTAATATTAATTAATCATTTCTCATGTTTTTCTTTTGCTCATATAAGAGTTGCTTCAGTCGTGAAAAACTGCTGGTAAAATAATGCTTTATAGAAGCCATAATATGTGGTCAGAAAAAGAATCCCGTGAGCAGGATGTGGACCTGAACAAGGGGAAAGTACTGTCACCGGGAGTACAAATACAACCAGGATGCAAGAACTTCATGCAGGGGTGGACATTAACTTCAAAACCAACCGGCCAGCCGGGCCGGTAACTCTGAATATTTACCGGCCCCGCCAAGAATCTACCGGCCCCGCTGGTCAGCTGCCAAAACGAGTCAAAATAACAACTGAACTGTTTTAAATGTAATAAACCTTTATTTTGTACACATTCACAAACATAATAACGTATTCAAGTTTGAATTTGTTTGTTTCCTCAACAAAACACAATTTTGTTGTCACATACTTCCGGCACACAACACAGTACATTACCAACTCCGCTTTGCTGTACTCGAGCCATTGGCTGTGTTCGAGATAAGCCAGTTCTGTGCAGATTAGACCAGCGGTGATCGGCGGGCAGTGCATGCCGGTTAGATTTGTATCCGACTTGACGCCGACTTGCTCTGACGACATGCCTACGTAGGCAACGATAACCTCGTGAGATCAAGGCGGCCGCAGATTTTGGAACAAGGCGCTGCAGTTGCTCTCCACCGGCTGCAAAACCTAGATGACGGGAAACGCCTGGCTCTCACCTGATCTAAGATCTGATTGGTTCATATTTTGATCCAAACATCCGGTGGTAGAACATGAAATGTTAGTTGGTCACATGTATTCTGTAAATCATGTTATGTTGATGATAACTCTATAGGCCATAAAGAGAAATGTGATTTGTGTTCTTTTGTCACGTTTCCTATGAGCACACTAAAGCTACAGCTGATAACCTTTACTTATTATTACAGTCCTGTCTTCATAAACAATATAAGATATCCATCCATGAGGATGTGTTTCAGCTGCTAACAGGCAACAGAATTAAAATAAATAATTAAACAAGTATGAACTCTCACCGACTCTAACGCAATATCTTCAGCCATCGTCACCCCCGAGCTACACATGTAGGGAAATCTGTCCGACCAAACGCCGGCTTTCAGCCACTCCCCCTGCTGCTTCCGTCTGCTCTTGTCTGTTTTCCAGGCGAGGCGCTGCTCAACTCGAACACGGCCATTCTCTGCACCTCCCATCTTCTTTAAACCGCCAAGAATCATTCCACCTACGCACACGCTTCTCTGCTTCATACCGTTTCGAACTGTCTCGCTTCTCCTTACCAGTTTTAAAGCATTTTGCCGGAGATTTCATCAAGAAATCCCATCCCTGTGGTGGCACCATCTTCCTGCGTGCTTGTGTGTTTCTAGCATTGTTCCACTTCGTCTTTAATAGTGAACTTATAGTTCACGTGACTATAACTAGAATCGTGCAGTACGTGCACGAATCGTACAAGTGCAGTACGTGGCTAGAGGCGCGCAGGTTCACGCTCGCGAAACGATAATGGCGGCTTCTTACAGGGCGCGGCGGCCATGATGTAGGTGAAAGCTGGTGTATAAATGACAAACAAGGTTTGGGCGCCACCCAGGCGTCAAGTATTTACCGCCCGACGAGAAAATTTAGCGCCATTGGCGCTCAGGTGCTTTAAAGGTCCACCCCTGACATGGGTCACTTTTAGTACCATTGTTGTCCAAAGACTTATTTGTGTCCTGTGTGGACTTTCATGTGTACATTTAAATTTGACTTTTGGGTGTATCGTTGTCCACAGAGCTCACAGGCAAAAGGCTTCTGTCCTGTGTGGAGTCTCATGTGTATGCCTAAAGTTGTCTTTCGTGTAAATCTTTGTCCACAGAGCTCACAGGCAAAAGGCTTATGTCCTGTATGGGCTTTCATGTGTCTGTTGAAGCTTGCCTTTTGGCTAAATCTTTGTCCACAGTGCTCACAAACAAAAGGCTTCTCACCTGTGTGGACTCGTATGTGATTGTTTAACGTTGTCCTACGGCCAAATCTTTGTCCACAAAGCTCACAAGCAAAGGGGTTCTGCCCTGTGTGGACTGTCGTATGTTGGATTAAATATGTCCTTCGGCTAAATCTTTGTCCACATACCTCACAAGCAAAAGGCTTCTGTCCTGTGTGGATTCTCATGTGTTCGTCTATATTTGCCTTTCGGCTAAATCTTTGTCCACACAGCTCACACGCGAAAGGCTTCTCTCTTGTATGAACTGTCATGTGTGTGTTTAAATTTGATTTTCCCTTAAATATTTTTCCACAGTCATCACAACTAAATAATTTTAGTTTTGTTTTGACATTCCTGCATGAGTCTACATGTTGCTTCTCTACATCACATTTCTGATCAACCAAACAGCCTGAAGACCCTATCGCTGAATGACTCGTCTCTCTCACGTGAATCTGGAGAGACCACCTGCGGAGAAAATGTTCACCACACTCAGAGCAGCTAAAGGATTTGTTGATAGTTTTTTTAACATCTGAGTCAGAAGTCCTGCTCTCATTCCAGTCATCGTCATTTTCAGGCCAGAAGTCTGACAGCTCAGAGTCTAGATTCACATCACCATTCTCTTCATCCACGGTACTAACTTCAGTCTCTGAAGTATCTGTCTGTTCACATGGGTTTAGATCTGGGCTCCTCCAAGTTTCTGCTGTAATCTGGTCAGCTGAGCTGCTGGTTGGGACATCACCGTCTTCTGTTTGCTGCTGATGAAGCTCTGAGAACAGAGGTTTCTCTTCATCATCCTCACTCTTTATAGAAACTGTAGTGAGTGGAAACTCGACCACATCAATCTCCTTCTTCAAATGGAGCTGCTCTCCCTCCACACTGATCCAGAGTTCCTCCTGTTCCTCCTTTATGTGAAGATGTTCTGGGTCCTGCTGATCCACACCATCACTCTGTTCTTCAGGAGCTTCTTCTTTAACCAGCGCCATCTGTTGAACAGTTGTAGGAAACACATGATGTGACTTACTGATCGCTGTAACTTTCATTCACACACACACATAACAATTGTATTATTGCTTGAAATCGTTGAGATGAAGAACTGAACCCCAATCCACACTGGAGGTGACTCGAGACTTCAAAGTAGGGCTGCACGATATTAGGAAAACCTGCGATATTCGATAACAGTGATTAATATTGCGATGACGATATAATCGAAAACAAAGAAATAAACAAATCATAAAAATGAGAAAAGCAAAAGATGTGAGGAAAGGGAAAAAGAAAACAAACAAGAAAAGAAACATTGAAAAGACAATCAGTGGACCCCGGGAAAAGCAGAATCAGCAGAAAGAGCAGAACAAAGCTAACTCAAGTGTTCGCTAACCATCAAAATTAAGTGCTGTCCGCCTCGGGGGCGGGCATCTAACCTATGAGAACCCACCCAATTGGCCAAATGGGTGAAGAGCTCTATTTGATTTGTTACAAAAACATCATTCTTCTGTTTGATTGACAGAATGCATTATGAGTAGCAAACATCTGAGCTGAACATTCATTGCGATATTTATCTGTTCTTTGCGATATGCATTTAGTGCATGCTGATATCGCGATAACGATATATTTACGATATATCGTGCAGCCCTAATTCAAAGGTCACAGTTGTTTTATGCTCATAGACATCATTGGGCGATGGAGAGCGTAACGTGCGTGTGTGTGTGTGTGTGTGTGCGTATGGGAGTTTGCATCTGCTTGGGATGGGATTGAGGGTGGGAGGAGGGTGATACAAAGGGGATCTCTTATTTGAATCTTTGTGGGAGGGGTGGGAAACTGACTGCTGTCTGGTTGTTTTTAATATTGTAAAGTGCTTTGAACTGCATTTGCATGAAAAGCGCTTCATAAATAAATTTTGATTTGATTTGATAACAGCATCGTTGCCATATTGTGTGGGTCTCTCACTCTCCAAACCCAACTGGAGCAATCTATGTGTGTGTGTGTGTGTGTGTGTGTGCATATATTATTTGTTGTGCATTAGTGTAGTTACACTGAATTTCTACAATTTTCATGCAGAATCTGGCCGACAACTTTAAACTTGTTTGTACTGAATGTGCAGCGCATTGCTCAGTAAGGTAATTTGGCAAAATCAAGCAAGGCTGCATAATTTGTATGATGGCCCATTTTATGTTTTAGCAGCCAGTAAAGGCATTTAAACCCACCAGTTACTGTCTCGTGCTCCACGTTAATCACCGGATCAAAGCCTTCATTAACTGACGAGCCTACAACATGAAAAAAGTCAAAGCTTGTTAGTGATTTCATAACACTTATTTTAATCGGTGCATTGTATTTACAGTACTTACTGATTACTTTTGCTTGCTGCCATCCTACATAAGGAAGTCAGAAAAAAAAGAGTACCTATTGCTAAACTGAACAGTAAATTTTGCTGAACCAACACAAATTAGTGGCCATAACACTTCATATTTCGTTAGAGCAATACATTAGGATCATTTAAATTATATTTTGTGAGAATCAGTTTTGTATTTAATTTTTGTCATGCTTAATAAGTATGGTAACTATCAGTTAAAGTTAGTATTATTTTGAAGTACAGAATTTTATTTTGAAAGCATTACTTCTTGTTGAGCTGTAATGTTTATTTTGAAAGATGGATTTTGGAAGCACAAATCAATTTAGTGTTTGACCGTGTTTTGCTGTGATTTTAATGTTAAATTTAAATGTTAACTCATTACCTGCGGCGTTTTTGAGTATTTTTACTGCTTTTTGAAGAGTCACAGAATGTTGTGCTCTATGATGACGTCAACGCCAAAACTACCAAAACAACAAAAACAACCAAAACAAAGAGTAGACTCACTTCTTACATCAGGAAGAATTTGCGTGTTTCTAGGATTGTCCGTTCTTTCTTAATATGTTGTCGAATTGTGAGCGGCAGACGTTTTCCAGTTCGCGCCTCACTTGTTTTACAGCAGCGGCCCAAAACGATCTCCTAACACATGGATTTTCAGCTTCCTGACCACGAGACGTGTGACGTATGCGGATGAAGATCGGCTTAAGAGCTGCGACGTTTGTTATCACAGTGCGGGGGCTTGTTCCGGCACCCACATAGTAAAAAAAAATGCTAATGACGACTTTAATAGTCAATGGGAGCGAGCGGTTGAATTTAAAATGTTGACCTTTGTCATCAATGGCAGTTAACGAGTTAAGAGAAGCAAAAAAAATTTTGTTTCGTATTTTTTCTAGATAGAAATAAGTGTTGAAATTCATGGTTTTGTACGCGTCCTTAAAGAGGGACTGCACACCATCAGAAAATGTAACTCCACCCCTAGTCAAGATTTGAAAAATGGGCCAGGAGGCAAGTGTGGGGAATTTCCATCCTGGGAGGGAGTGGGAGGAGACTGTACCAATGACGTGAAATTGTACCAGCCCCAGTCAATCACAAGTTTAAAATGCAGTAGCCACAGTTCAACCACAGGGGGCAGCACTAAGACATTTTTAGACCTAGATTCTAAATTTAATCAAGTTTACACAAACATGTCAAAAAATGCACAGAAACTGAAAGATTGCATTTGTAATGACCCAATTGTACAGTTTATATTAAAAAAAAGTTATTTTGGGGTTTAGTTACTCTTTAACTTATATATATATATATATATATATATATATATATATATATATATATATATATATATATAAATACAGCACCGTCTTGTTTACACAAATACAAAGAACACACCAATAATTAAAACTTTGTTGTCGTATCGGCCAATGGGGTTCTTTCGCTGCGGTCAAGGTGCTCCAACTCCCTTGATACTAAATTCTTTACCCATCCACACACACAGGTAAATATACTACAGTCAGTCAACTGCAACACCACCAATGTCATACATCTATTGAGATGCCCATGTTGGATGGCATACTTAGAACAGACTAAAAGAGCCTTAAAAATGGGAATCTCTGGGCACACAACTGCATTATAATGAAATTGCCATGTTGTTCAGACGTAACTCCGACGAAGACACATGACGGGTAGAAACGTAAACATAATTCACCTCACATTTCTGTTGGACATTCATGTTGGATCAATACCCCGACTACCCAATAACCACATAGACTTGAGTGTGATTTGGTTGGTGTTTTTTGATGATGATGGAACTCTGATAAACCCCTATGTAACTTGTTTGGACTGCTGCAGCAGTGTCATTTCTTTACTCATGTTCATTTTATTCAGTACATGCTATTGTAACAGACATAAAGATGTTCTGTCCCTTCAGGGCTTTCTTTGTCTCATAGTAACAATGATATTACAAAATAGCAACGTCTCTCTCTCGTTATTTTGAGTGGACTGGACATGTACGGACACACGTGGATATTATTTTGGTCTCTATATTTTACTCCACCTCAACTGAAGTGGCGTTACGGGTTGTGTTTTATTTAATGCATATTAGGACAGCAGCCGTCCAACCTGACTTTGTAAGACTGAGGAATTAGTAATAAGGTATAAGCACAGTGGACTTCTCAGTACCAGTGTGGGTGTTAATTATTAGTGGTCTGCTGTGTCATCTTAAAACATAACCCACATCATTACAGAACCGGTAAGTAATGTGTTCACGTGTGTATTGATTGGTGACCATCATCTTCTTTGAGTACGTTTTTTTTATTATTATTAAGTCCTTAGCGTTGGGCATCGAGCATCGATTGGAACCGGTTCCAACTGTTCATTTTTCCTGGAATCGCTCAACGTTTTTCATGTCGGTTCCTAGAATGCCGACGGAAGAGGAATCCGCGGCCGATCTCCGTGAAAAATAAAGGTGATCTGCAAATTGTGATCAACGCTTTTCAGAGCTGATCACACCAGCTGTCTGTGTGCAGCACCGAGTCCCCCCCCTCCCCCCAGACGTAAACAAACGCGTCTGCCGAACTTTTACTCCGTGATGTAAACTGTAACTCCTGCAGCGTAGAGGAAACTTGTTAAATACGTCAACACGGTGGATTTAATAGAAGCTTTAAAGAACAAACTCTGGACGGTGTGAGGTGAGTTTGTCTCACCTGTAGAATAATTAAAGTCATCATGCTAGAGCAGCTTTCTCTGTGGTGGACCACACCAGCTTCTGCCACAATAAATACTTAGAATAATATCAAATAACATTTAAATTTCCTTTCTGAACTGTTTCTGAGTTTTGATGTTTAAAATCTGTTAGATTGTTGCTGACAGCAGCTACGTTTAAGTTCCTGTTCTGACTGAATGCTGCTGCAGCATGGAGGTGTAGTTCTCAGTCATCCTGGACATGATCATCCTGAGAGCTTCAGCTGAAAACAGCTGGACGTTTCTGGATATGTTGGAGACATTTAGCCTCTCATCCCAGAGGCTTCTTCCAGACTTTGGTTGTGGTCAGAAACAAACACACTGGTTGTGCTGCAAGTCTTTGTCTTTTTTTTCTCCAAAACATGTTTTTGTCTAAATGAAGGTGATGTTGTTGTTCATGGAATTAAAATTAATGTTGAAGTTAAGATTATTTCATCAAGTAGGACCTGTCCTGTGGTTAGCTGGCTCATGTAAAGCATGTCATGTCTTTAAAGAATCGGAATCGGGAATCGATAGGAACCGGAATCGAAACGAGGAATCGGAATCAGAATCGCTCAAAAGCAGCTAACGCAGTAAATGAGGGAGGAGACGTGTTCAGCCTGAATGTTAAACAGAATGATTGGTCTTGTTTAAGAAATATGAAGTAAAAATAAGAGTGAATAATTATCAAGTGCTATTTTACACACACATCTTGGGAAGTCAATTATTAAATGTGTTACTATTTTAGGGGGTTACTGATGAAATTTCTTACACGTGTATTTTTACTTACTACAGCATTAGTTACTGTGGTGCTGTTACACTTACATTTCCCCTCTGAGGGAAAGTAAAGGGATTTCTGTTCCAATTAAAAATATGAATGCAGGTTTTAAAACATGTTCTTGTTATAATCACTGGAACATTTTCAAAATGAGAATTTTTACACGTTCTCCCGTTCAGATGGAAGGAGAAATAAAGTCTAAATAAAGTTTTGTAAGAGGAATAAAAACTCTTCCGCCCGTGGCTGTACCTACTTCCGTCATCTTGTTGTTTGCAGCCAGATCCTCTTGGTTTTCCCTTCAGAAGTACAGATCCTGCATCATGACCAGCTCAGATGAGCGAGTCTGATAGAGGGAACCTCTTCAATCTGATGAAAGCAGCAAAACGAGCGCGTTTCTCAGAGAGGCCAAAGGAACAGCAGCAGATCCAGAGGGCAGGAAGTCTAGAGAAAAGCTTTTCTCACCCACAACCTGATTCTGGAGCTCCGATTGTCACGAAGACCGCAGAATATCTTCTCTGGTACCAAATTGTTGAGGGGAAGAAAGTTTCCATAGCCTGGTGATGGTTTACAGCGCTGCTGCTACAGCCTGCTAGCTTCTGGAGGAGGAGCTTCTTCTTCGGGGTTTTATTGCAGTTGCCTACATCTTTACGTGCATTACCGCCACCTACTGGTCCAAGCGTTGACCTGCACATTCTTTCCATCTCAACCCTGTTTTATCACCATAATTATAACTGGGCCGTCTGGTATTTTATAACTTTATGGCTGTAAAATTGTAATAAAAAAGTTCCAAATGCTTGTAACTTTGCTTCTTTTTCAGAACAACCTCAGCTTTCAGTGACTGGTTGGTATTTAGTATTTAAGTCTATTAAAGCCTGAAAAAAAGAAGCTTAATGTTGTTTTTTTAAGTATTAGGATTTTTTTACATTTATTACTAAATTTGAACATCAAAATGACTTAGGTAAACAATTTCAAATGAACAAATTAAAATATGAACTTTATTGCAAACAGACGTGTGAACCTTGCCATCCTTTTTGCCAGTTTTTAGAACCGGGGGTAGGTGTGCTCTCTAGTTTAGAGAGTGCCATGAAGTCATATACATAACATAAGATAAAATTCATACATCATAAATGAAGGCAAGTTTCTATCAGCAATTATAAATATCTATAAGCCAGATAATAAAGGATAATAATCATTACTCCACTAACACTGGTGCTTTGCCAGGTTTTAATTTCTGCACAATGTTCTCTGTGCGTAATGTTTAAAATGTCTGCCCTCCTGCATGCGTCGGGGTAATTCCAGTCATTCAAACTGATCAACAGCCTTGAGATTTTTCTGTCAAAATAATTGGAAAATATCCAGTTAACACGATCCATTGAACTTTTTTTGCCTTCTTGTGAAGATAGTTCACAAACATAGAGAAACTTTTAAACTCGAGCAACATCAGAGCAGAGGCGCAGTGCACCGTTAAGTCTGTAATTCAAACTTTTCAACATTGTTGATTGTAATGCTTCTATCAGTACAAATGAAACAGAGCCAGAATTTGTTTTCTGAACTGTTTAAACATGCCACAAATGGAAACACAAGTCAAAAAGTTGCACCTGCCCAAATATTATGGAAAGTAAAACCACTGACGAGGTGAATAACATCCAGTTATTTTAGGCACAGACACTACATCTTATGTCGTTATCAAGTTTTTGCTTCTTGTAATTGTGTGACCTGGCATGGTAGCCCTTCGCATAACAAGAGTGTACCATTTTCTCACAACACACAAAGCGACCAATGCTTCCATAATTTATACACCCGGCTATTCCATCATGCAACGCGCTACAGCACCCTGTACGATTGACAGTCTTCCGTTTTGAGTTTCGGTCTTGCATAAACTGTGTGGAGAAAGCTGTCTGTAGCCATCAATCAAAGTAGAAGGCAGGACATAGGGAGTCTAAGTCACGCCCATCTACTACTGGACCATGGGTACCTGGAAGAATGACAAAATGAATGCAAGTCAAAGGGGCTAAAACGCTAGGTTTTGTGTGAAAATAAGCCAAGGACTACAAATGTGCTTCCCGAAAGTGAAGTCATCGAACCAGACATGGAGATAAACAGAGGGGAAATGGCTTTAAGTTTAGCAAACTTGAAATCCTTCCTTCAGGAGAAAATTACCACCATGTAATTTATGCGACATGTCTGCATGGACGTAATTTTTTTTTTTGGGGGGGGGGGGACATGCCCCCCCCCCACCTTTTCCAAAGTCAAGTTTTGACCCCTGCACTTTTTACCATCCAAAAACAATATTACGCTATATTAAATTGACACTGGTTGAGCTCTAGGACCAAGCAGAAAACAACCGTTAGTGTTGAAGCCTGTTTCCCATTAGAACATACTGTAAAGATACCCCCCCCCCCCCACTTCTGAAGTGAAAATTACGTCCATGCATGTCTGATTTGTAGTCTTGCTAATTATGAACTTTTACAAGCTGATAAATCTTAAAGTATGTGACTGCCGTAGTCTAAACGCCCATAATTGCCTTTCATTTGAATTGAAGTACAACATTAGTGCCATCTAGGGCAAGTTTTCTCTTCTGCCTCTTGGAGGGAGCACTTACTTTTCTTTTCTCCGCCCTTTGTCCTGTTTGCCTGTCTCCACGGCGCTTCTCTGCATTGCTTCTGAAAATCTGGAAATTATTACAATACGGATCTGGTCAGTTGGTCTTTCAACGCGATTGACAAAAATTTTTCAACAATGAGATTGGAGGGAGGGGCTTCTACATGTTCGGATGGAACACACTCTGTTTTTTAGATTCTTGGAAGAAGTGGAATGTAATATGCCTTTCCCAGCCTTCTGTGGAGGACACTGAAGATGTATAGATTTTCGCAGGTGTTGATTTTTGCTTTTTGGCATGGGTATATCAAAACTTTAAGAAGTTTTTGGGGACAATTGGAAAGCTTCCTGAACTCGGGAATGGAGTTTATCATGCTGTGAATGTACACACTCGGACAAGTGTCGAGACGAATCTCAAGCTTGAGACTTTTGCTGCGATTTCAGCTTTGACACAAAAAGTGGATGTCATCATGGAGAGAGTGGTCCCTGCATGGCCTGGAATAGTTTAAACACCATTATTGGCATTTTTTGATGGAAATGACGCCAGCAGAACTGTATGGCAGGGAGGACATTTATCTCTGCCTGTCCCAAAATAATTCATCTTATCAGAATCTGGTGCCTTTGAGTCTTCAGTCTGAGGCTGAAGAAAAAATTCCCCACAGAGGGGATGTGGACAGACGCTGTACCCCCCCCCCCCCCCCAACCCCCAACAGAGTGGCTGGAACTGTGACCTGGTGAAAACTTTGGAACCGTCTGGGAGTCATTGCATCCTCCATCCTAGACCTCCCTCCCATCTCTAAACCATACTTGCAAACCCTCCCAATTTTTCCGGGAACTCCATATTTTCAGTGCCCTTCCAAGAAATCTCCCGGGGCCACCATTCTCCCGATTTTCCACCCTAAACTAATGGGTGCCATTTCCGGCCGGACAATTATAACTGTTACGCCTAGGAGTCAAGCACGGCAGAACGGAAGAAGAAGAGACACACACATGGCGACGATGAGTAAAAAAAGGAAATATGCGTGCAAGTTCCAAAGTGATTGGAAAAAAAAGTGTGAGCTCGAAGGGGAATGGGTATGTTGGCTGCAGGTTTCGTAGATCAGTGTTACGTCCCCTCCTGAACGTCAGGATGAGGGGACTAACACAGAAAAATAGGTGGAGGTGTGAGTGAGTGGATAAATAATGAGGTGGTGAAGTAAAAATCAAGAGGATTTATTAACAAAGGGTGTCCTTTTCTAAAGGCAAAATGAGGCTTACAACAGGGAATGGCGCTACAAAGGTGGAAACTGAAAACGTAAGCGAGTAACAGCTTAGGAAAACTGCATTTGGCCGAAACCACCTAAACAGAAAAAAATCCCCGGCTAAAAGTCCAATGGGGGAAAACACCAAAACTAAAGCTGTAACTCTGTCAAAAAGCCTGAAGAAGAAGAACAAAGTCTACTTTCTACCAAAAACCCTAGACAACCGTACACCACAGTTTAGCCTTAGTGAAAAAGGGGAACCCAGCTCAGGAGAATCTCAGACTAGCTCTGGATCTCCTCGGATGACTGCTGTGCTCTCCTTTAGAAGTCCTCCAGGCTGCTTGATGGCCGATTTGGATCAGCAGCTCCTGTTTCTGGCGTGCCTCTCTCCAAGGTCCTGAACTGCCACTGAGGGAGAGTGAGTCGCTCCGGAAACTGTCTCAGGTGCTGAAAAGCTCTGCAGTGGTGACAGCAGGGCGCAGATTAACATGACGGGGAGGACCGAGGGTCATCACAATCAGACTTCTCCACTGAACACGGTGATCGAATGCATGTAATTGCTCACAAAGAGACTGAGAAGCACAAAGCTGTGGCAACGCAACACCGGTCACAACGCAGTATTGTTGGCCATCAGCCAAATGGAAATCAGAGGCTGTTATTTATGTAGAAGAAAAGATGGCTATTCTGTTACCCACATGCTACATCACGTCACATTTGCGGATGCTGTCAACAAATTTTCATGTTTTTCTTTTGCCTTTATAAGTTAAGCGTTGCTTCAGTCGTGAATAACTGCAGGAAAAATAACGCTTCCCTGTGTTTATTTGTTGACAATATAAAAATCAGAGTTGGAATTTTACCCTATTTCTCCTTTTTGTTGAGCTGAGCTCAGATCAGCTGATCCACAAGTCTGACCTCTGATCAGCACTGAGAGGGGGGGAGGCAACTTTCATAATTGTGCTCCCTAATTAACCAAACACTCTACCGTTGGCTGAATCATAACAAACGTGTACGTCCACACCATGCATTACATCATTTGGGTATTGATTAAGCATAACACACCCTATCCCAATTTTTTTTTACAATGAATGAAATACTCACCATTTGGGAAAATAAACATCAAATGTTTTCTCGACAACAACTCAGGCTGAAGGTCATCATTATGTAATGATAGGTGGCTCACAGGATAGAAAAAAGAATCCCATGAGCAGGATGTGCCTGAACAAGGGGAAAGTGCTGCCACCAGGAGTACAAGTCCAACCAGGATGTAATTTCCGGACTATAGAGCGCACCTCAATAAAAGCCGCACCAGCAAAAAAATAAAATAAAAAGGGTTTTCTACACACACACACGCAGCACTCAAATACAAGTCGCTGCGCAGCAGCCACATCCAGGTCTCCGGCGCACAGCGCATGTACGGCCATAACACAAGATAATTAGACAGAAAGACGCGGAGGTTTTTCGTTGTTGTTTTAATTCAACAAAACAAATTTTAAACATGGTGAACGTGCCTGCAAGTTTAGAAAAGAAAACAGCACTGATAGCATTCGTATTTCTGGATGGTTATAAAATAAAAACAGCACTGACACGTTATTACCGGTAATTTGCATGTTTAGAAGAAAAGAACAGCGCTGACACAGCATTAATAAGCCCTGGATGATTAGAAAATAAAAACTGTACACAAAACATGCCTGGTTAGTAATGATCAGCACAGCTGAAACAGTGGAAACACCTCGGCAGTCTGCTCTTTGTGTCTTCACCCAGTCTTCAAGAATGTTTTCCTATTCCGGCTGTAGCGTAATGGTTGTCGGCTCTTTTATGAAAGATGAACCATTCTACATAATAATCTGGAATATTAATTTTTACAAATTAATAACCAAATGTTATAGAGATAAGAAGACTCAAAGGTTGTTTTCATCGATAAACTGACGATCATACCCGTTTGTCTGTGTTTCAGTTTAATGAAAAGACAAGTTTAAAATTTAAGAATTTTAATTCTTCAATTTAAACTAACGATTTGAAATGACAATCATAGGAAAAACAATCAACATTGGCAACCTTGTTGGACAGTCTTTAACAGTTGATATTTTAAGCTTGCACAAATAGACCTTGTGTTGGATGTGCTAAGATTTGAGAATGATGGAATTATGAATGCGTGCAAGCAGGTGTCTGAGATTGCTTCAGGGAGAGAAAAGGTGTCTGAGTGAAAAAAGATGTTTTGCAATTAAACTTTAGTTCTTATTAGAAAACCAGCATCAGAACGCTATCTATTGTGTTCTGCCTCACCGTACTTAGGACCCCCTTTCAGATCCGGACCTCGGAGGATGTGTTATCCAGGTCGCACCTTGGCTGGCAGAGGAGACAAAGGTGTGCGACGATCCGGTCCAGAGTTGACCTCGGTACACATTGCTGAAGCGTTCGGCAGATGCGCTTTCTCAAGTTTAAATTAACTCAGAAATCAAAAGACTCTGGGACGAGTCTGCGTTAGCTGGTTGCATTTCAGCTATTCTGTCTGGCTTGACAGAAATAGCGTGGGGGGAGAATAGGAAGCCGGCAGGGCTCCTTTCCCCGTGGCGTTTGTTCCACACTTCTGCTCTCTTTCGTTCTCAATCTCATTCTGACTAACTTACCAGAACCACTTCTCTTCCCAAAGCAAACTTGTTGTGCGTCAGAGCAAATGTGTTTTGAGTTACTATGGAGTGGGACCTGTGTGAGCACATGTGAAGGTCATTGCTAAACATCTTCAAAAACATATTTAATTATACTGATTCATTATAGTTCATTATGATTACCCAAAGCATAATAATCATTCATTGAAGTGATCAAATGATTATTTAACTTTAATAATGAAGAAAGTTTAAGACTTTGTTTTATTATGACTAGACTGTGGAGAAGTCCTTCTTCTGAAGCTGCAGGTGTTGGATGTTGTGGCGTCCTTTAGACTTGCTGTCGGCTCAGGTCTTAATCTGTGGGTGAAAGTGCTGCGTGACCCAGCTTTGACCCAGCCGGGCAAATACAACCTTTGGCACAGAAAACCCATACTTCCTCACGTTACACGGCCATCTGCTTTTATTTCCTCTGGAAGCTTCAGTCGTTTTTTTTACACTGACTGAGTTCTTCCCGCTGCCGCCTCCAACGTCGCACCATTGATTCATTTATACCAAGCTCCCGTGCAGTGGCTCTGTTTCCTTGTTTGATGGCCAGATGGATCGCTTTTAACTTGTAAGCTGCAGCATATGTATTCCTCCACGTGTTTTCCATGACGAGGGTATGTCTGATGTGTAAACGTGCCGCTTTCAATCAAAGAGCGTCTACTTCCGCGCATAATGTTTTGCCGTGCCTGTCTCACTTTACTGCTAGAGAGTGCCTCTAGTGGTTGTTGGCCAAAAAAAATCTACACAAGCCGCACCATGATATTGGCCGCAGGCTTCAAAGCACAGGGAAATAATAGCGGCTTGTAGGCCGGAAATTACGGTACATGGGTCACTTTTAGTACTTTTGTAGTTTAAAGACTTATTTGTGTCCTGTGTGTATTCTCATGTGTACATTTAAATTTGACTTATTGGTATATCGTTGTCCACAGAGCTCACAGGCAAAAGGCTTCTGTCCTGTGTGGAGTCTCATGTGTATGTCTAAAGTTGCCTTTCGGGCAAATCTTTGTCCACAGAGCTCACAAGCAAAGGGCTTATGTCCTGTGTGAACTTCCATGTGTCTGTTAAAACTTGCCTTCTGGCTAAATCTTTGTCTACAAAGCTGACAAGCATAAGGCTTCTCACCTGTGTGGACTCTCATGTGACTTTTTAATGTTGGCCTACGGCCAAATCTTTGTCCGCAAATCTCACAAGCAAAGGGCTTCTGCCCTGTGTGGACTCGAGCATGTTGGAATAAATATGTCTTTCGGCTAAATCTTTGTCCACATACCTCACAAGCAAAAGGCTTCAGTCCTGAGTGGATTCTCATGTGATCATCTATAACTTGCTTTCGGCTAAATCTTTGTCCACACAGCTCACAAGCAAAAGGCTTCTCTCTTGTGTGAACCGTCACGTGGTTCTTTAAATTTGATTTTCCCCTAAATTCTTTTCCACAGTCATTACAAACAAAGGATTTTAGTTTTGTTTTGACATTCCTGCATGAGTCTACATGTTGCTTCTCTACATCACATTTCTGATCAACCAAACAGCCTGAAGACCCTATCGCTGAATGACTCGTCTCTCTCACGTGAATCTGGAGAGACCACCTGCGGAGAAAATGTTCACCACACTCAGAGCAGCTAAAGGATTTGTTGATAGTTTTTTTAACATCTGAGTCAGAAGTCCTGCTCTCATTCCAGTCGTCGTCATTTTCAGGCCAGAAGTCTGACAGCTCAGAGTCTAGATTCACATCACCATTCTCTTCATCCACGGTACTAACTTCCGTCTCTGAAGTATCTGTCTGTTCACATGGGTTTAGATCTGGGCTCCTCCAAGTTTCTGCTGTAATCTGGTCAGCTGAGCTGCTGGTTGGGACATCACCGTCTTCTGTTTGCTGCTGATGAAGCTCTGAGAACAGAGGTTTCTCTTCATCATCCTCACTCTTTATAGAAACTGTAGTGAGTGGAACCTCGACCACATCAATCTCCTTCTTCAAATGGAGCTGCTCTCCCTCCACACTGATCCAGAGTTCCTCCTGTTCCTCCTTTATGTGAAGATGTTCTGGGTCCTGCTGATCCACACCATCTCTCTGTTCTTCAGGAGCTTCTTCTTTAACCAGCGCCATCTGTTGAACAGTTGTAGGAAACACATGATGTGACTTACTGATCGCTGTAACTTTCGTTCACACACACATAACAGTTGTATTATTGCTTGAAATCGTTGAGATGAAGAACTGAACCCCAATCCACACTGGAGGTGACTCGAGACTTCAAAGGTCACAGCCGTTTTATGCTCATTTTTACATCTTGGGTAGGGCTGCACGATATTAGGAAAGCCTGCGATATTCGATAATAATGATTAATATTGCGAAGACGATATTACTTACGATAAATAAAAACTTAACTCAGGAACAAAATTAATCAAAAACAAAGAAACAAAAAAATTTATAAAAATAAGAAAAGCTAAAGATGTGAAGAAAAGGAAAAAGGAAATGAACAAGAAAAGGCAATCAGTGGATCCCGGGAAAAGCAGAATCAGCAGAAAGAGCAGACCAAAGCTAACTCAGGTGTTCGCTAACCATCAAAATGAAGTGCTGTCCACCTCGGGGGCGGGCATCTAACCTATGAGAACCCACCCAGTTGGCCAAATGGGTGAAGAGCTCTATTTGATTTGTTAAAAAAACATAATGCTTTCATTTGATTGACAGAATGCATTATGTGTAGCAAACATTTGAGCTGAACATTCAATGCGATATTATCTGTTCTTTGCAATATGCATATTGTGTATGCTGATATCGCGATAACGATATATTTACGATATATTGTGCAGCCCTATTCTTGGGTGTTTTAAAACAAATAAATACAAAATTAATTTTAGTTTTTCATGTTCATCAACCACATCTACTCTTGACTAAAAGATTGACCATTTTTATTCTGCCATAATTATCAACTTACTGTAGGCACCTCAATCATCTGTATTGTTATTTTGAGGGTCATTACGTCAATGTTTCAAAATGTTTTTGCTCCATAAATTTGAAAGTAAAAGAAATAATCATCATCTGCGTGATGATCCAGTTTGAATCCAGGAAAAACATTAACTTGATTTCGAAGCCCTTTCCAATTTTAGAAAATGTTTGTATAGGTTTTTTCGTAACTTTCAATAAAAATATTATAGAAAAAAGATAACACGAGTTTAGGTCACGTGAGGAGAGAGGGGACAAGATGGCGGAGTGAGCAGTCTAGCTTATGTGGGCTCTGATGATTAACTTGATTAAAAATTTTCCTGACTGGTTTCACCTCAGCTGAAATAACGAGATATACAGCGGACAACATATCTTACGAACTCCTAAGGCATAAGTGACCTTTCCTTTTGTTTTTTTTCTTTCTTTAGTATCGTTAAATTTTCGAGGTTTAAAAAGTAGTACAAAACACAAGGTAGTTTTTCTTTTTTGTAAGGAACAACAGAATGTAAAATGTTTTTTTTTTCAGGAAACATATAACAGTAAGGATGATGACAGTTTTTGGAAAATACAGTGGGTAGCAATTTTTCTAAATCGATTCCAGGGCAAAATTCTTGATCACCAAAGTGACAACGAAGGTCACTGGTTAATGAGAACTATTGAAATAGATGATAATCAATACATTTTATTAAATGTTTACGGATTTAATAACAGAACCAAAAACCAGGGATTTTTCTCCAAGTTAAAATATATGATCGAAGAATGGAAACATACCGGTACTTACAGTACAGACAAAGTGATTGATGCAGGTAACTTTAACTTGGTACCAGACGAAAAACAAGATAGATTTCCAGCACAGTATAAATCACATCACTATAATCTAATGATATCAGATTTCTCTGGCTCCCTCGACTTTGTTGGCCTCTGGCGCAAACTCAATTTGAACAAACTTTCTTATACATGGAGCAACTCTGAATGCTCACAGCAGTCAAGACTTGATTACTGGCTAATTACTAATAATATCACAACCTTAGCCTCAAACTGCAATATTCTTCAATCTCTGCTTACTGACCACTGTGCTATAACACTCTCAATTACTCCTAATAATAGAATACCGGAATCAAAACATTTTCACTGGAAATTTAATCTTCTAAAAATCACAGAATTTCGCAAAAGAATTAAATCTCTTTTGATTGAAGTAAAATTAATGGATGATCTATCATCCACCAGCAAATGGGAATGGATAAAATTTTATGTTTAAAAAACTGCTATTGAGGAAGGGAAGTTAATGGCGGAAGCAAGGAGGAAAAAACAGGCTGACATAATTTCTAAAACAGACTCATTATGTAATATAAAAACACTAACGGAAGAACATTATCTTGAGTTAAACCAACTACAACAATTAGATGAACTTTATAAAGACAGAGCTAGAGGTGCTTTTATTTACTCTAGAGCTAAATGGATTGAGGAGGGAAAAAAATTAAACTTATTTCTTTAATTTGGAGAAAAACAGACAAACTCATAATACTATAAATAAATTGAATATTGATAATGATATAACTGAAGATTATAATTAGGGATGCACCGATATGATATTGGTATCGGTATCGGCACAGTTACCAATACCAGTATCGTTATCGGTAAAAGTTAACCGATACCAAAGCAGTTGCTTGAAAGTGGCGTCACTGTAACTTGTCATTTCTGTTTACCTAATAATTTAGTTTTGTGATGATTTCCATTCATATATTTTACTTTTTATCTGCCTCACAGTCTTTTCCTGTTGAAAGCAGAGAAGAAAATAAAATCTGTATTCCAAATCATTGCACTTTTTTGTGTGGTAGAAGTATCGGTATTGGTAATCGGTAGCAGCGAGTACGCAGATCCAAGTATCGGTATCGTATCGGTTTGGAAAAAAGTGGTATCGTTGCATCCCTAATTATAATAATATAGACACTTTTATTACAAATTTTTATATAACTCTTTACTCTTCCAATTATTCAGACCAAGAAACTTCTTTCTTCAGCTCATTGAAGGACCAGATCCCCAAAATAAAGGATCACTTCAAAGAACTCAGTGAGTTTGTGAGTTCACAAAGAACTATATAAAAATCATATGACTCAGTATAAGGACTTACTAACCAAACAACAGCATTACTCCTGTCTAATCAACTCCAATCGAGGCAACACTAAGTCACTGTACTCCATTATCAATAAAATTCACCGGCCATCCGATACTCTGCCCCCACACACGTGCTCTACTGCTACTTGTAGTGCCCTTCTTCTGTTCTTCAATGAAAAAATAATAAACATTCACCGTGCAATCAACCAAAGCATCCCCCCTACCTCCCCATATGATCCTCCCAAACCAACACAGTTATTTTCCATTTTCCAACTTCCCAGTGATTCTGAGATATCAGATATTATCCACAAGTCAAAGCCTTCTACCTGCCTTCTCGACCCCCTTCCCACAGCCTTGGTTAAATCCTGCCTCCCCTCCCTGCTCCCTCTCGTCTCCGCTCTCACACACGCATCCCTTTCCTCTGGTATTGTTCCCTCTATCTTCAAAACTGCTGCAGTTACTCCAATACTTAAAAAACCTAGTTCAGATCCTAACATTTTTACTAATCTCCGCCCCATCTCCAACCTACCCTTTGTCTCCAAAGTTTTAGAAAAAGTAGTCGCTGCCCAGCTCCACACCCATCTGACACTAAACTCCTTCTATGAACCTTTCCAGTCCGGTTTCCGCCCACTTCACAGCACAGAAACAGCCCTCCTCAAAATAACTAACGGTCTTCTCATTGCTGCTGATTCCGGTCTATTATCCATCCTGGTCCTCCTTGATCTGAGTGCGTCCTTTGACACTATCTCATTCCATTCTCATCCATAGGTTATCTTCCATCGGCATTGCTAACATCCCACTTCAGTGGTTTCAGTCCTACCTATCAGGTCGCACTCAGTTCATTACTATCAAATCCTCTCACTCACAGCCCTCTTCTGTCTCTTCTGGTGTGCCCCAGGGCTCTGTCCTGGGGCCCCTCCTTTTCATTATATACATCCTTCCCCTTGGCAATATTTTCCGCAGATTCAATATTCATTTTCACTGCTTTGCGTATGACACCCAGCTCTATTTGTCCAGTAAGCCAAATTCTACACTTCCTCCCTCATCACCTGCCTCCAAGAAATAAAAGTCCTGGTTCAGTTCGAACTTCCTGAAATTAAATACAGACAAAACAGAACTTCTTTTGGTTGTTACCAAGAACACCCTCTCAAAATTTGACAGTTTCTCTCTCACAGTTGATAATACTTCAGTTTCCCCCTCTCCCCAGGTCAAGAGTCTGGGTGTCATCCTAGACAGCACACTATCCTTCCAATCTCATATCAATAGCATCACACGGTCAGCTTATTTCCACCTTCGTAACAATAATCGTCTTCGCCCCTCCCTTGATGTCCACCCTACTTCTATTCTTGTCCATAGTCTGGTTACATCAGGTATTGATTATTGCAACTCTCTTGACTCAGGCCTCCCTCAGAAAACCCTCCGTAAGCTCCAGTTGGTTCAGAATGCAGCAGCACGCATCATTACTAAAACTCCCATCTCTCATCACATCACCCCATCCTCAAACAACTCCATTGGCTACCAGTGCACACCAGGATTAACTACAAGATTCTCCTTCTCACTTTCAAGGCCATCCATACCCTCGCCCCTCACCACCTCACAGATCACGTTCACATCGTCACCTCGCCCCGTTCCCTCAGGTCCTCCTCCTCTATTCATCTCTCTGTGCTCTCCTTCTGTCTCAGCACCATGGGGAGTAGAGCCTTCAGCTGCACCGCTCCCAGGGTATATACAGCAATCCTTAAGTAAAATTTACTACTTTTTAATACTTTTTTTTACTACCTTCAGAATTTTTTTAAAACCATCACAACACTAAATTGCAAGTGTTAATCAGCGACCTATTTACAAATATTTTAACATATATAACATACAAAAAGAATAGACTTAGAGACTCACTGATGTTGACAACGTATTGCACATATTTATTTTACTTAGAAAATAAGCCAGGCACTTCTGTTCAGCGGTTCAGACAGTTGACCACGAGGCCTGAAATGATGCACAACGACCACTGAATATGACGTCATCATTATGTGACCGGATATGCTAAAGTA